TATCAACACTCATGGAAGCAGCAGTCAAGAAATCAAATGACGTATTGCATTAGGCAAATCTGCTGCACAAGACCTTTTTAAAGTGTTGAAGAACAAAGATATCAGCTTGAGGACTAAAGGTGTGCCTGTCCCAAGCTATGGTATTTTTAATAACCTCATATGCAAGTGAAAGTTGGACAGGAAGATTGTAGAAGAATTGATGCTTTTCAGTTATAGTGTTGGAGGAGACTATTGAAAGTGCCATGGGCTGCCAAAAGAACCAACAGATCTGTGTTGGAAGAACTGCAGCCAGAGTGCTCCTTGGAGACCATGATGGCCAAACTTCGTCTCCTATACTTCAGACATGTTGTCAGGAGGGACCAGTCACTGGCGAAGGATATCATGTTTGGTAAGGTGGAGGGTCAGAGAAAAAGAGATAGACCCCCAGCGAGATGGATTGGCAAAGAGGGCTCAAGCATGGCAATAATTGTGAGGTTGGCCAAGGACCGGGCTGTGTTTCGTTCTGTTGTGCATAGGGTTGTTATGAGTCAGTACCGACTCGATGGCACCTAACAACAACAACATGGAAAGTAGCGCAAAATATTACTAAAAATTTGAGAACTGACAACAGACTATTGGACAAAGGAATTTGGACTTCATTGGTGACCTCCAAGAATGAAATTCTATTGGTTTTCTAGGAGTACTGTAACAATACCACAAAGTGGGTGACTTCTAAGAACAGAAATTTACGGTGTTATAGTTTTAGAGACTTAGGAGTTCAAAATCAGATGTTAAGCCTGATTTCTTCTAAGGATTCACAGTGAATCTGCTTCAGCTTTCTTTCATGGTTTCTGGTGATGGCCAGCAATCTTTGGTGTTCTTGGTATGTAGCACCATCTTCATATGACTATCCTCTCTCTGTCTCTGTGGAGTTTTTCTTTCATAAGATCATTAGTCACATTGGATTTGGATCTACCCTACTGCATTATGACCTCAAGGTAACCTAACTGATAACATCTTAAATGGCCCAGTTTCCAAACAGGGTCATATTCAACATACCTTTTTTGGAGGTGGGGGTGTAGGGGACGGGGAAACACAGTTCAATCCATTACTGAAAGTCTACTGGAATGCTCAAGAGGAATCCAGGTTCCACATGGTTAGAAGAGATATGGATAGGTAGAAAATAGAGCAAAACAGAAAGTGCTTTCCAAAAATGCAATCATCCAGGAATCGTGAGAAAGCTAGATAGTTTGTTAGATTAACAGGGTCATGCAAAGTTCTGAGGATTTTGTTTGTTTTTGTTTTGGTGTCCTGCTGTGGCGCTGTTGGATAAGCACTGGACTGCTAACTGTAAGGTTGACAGTCTAAACCCACTAGTTGCTGCTCAGAAACCCTATACAGGTTCAATATTAGTCAGAACTGACTTGACAACACTTAGGGACAACAGCAACAAGCCCAGAGAAGATTTGTGTAGTTTCTAATTAAGAAAAGAGATGGACGTTGTCAAATAAATGGGGGTTTCATGATAGGCAGAATAAAGTCCTGAAAGGGGATAGAGATATTAGAACTGAAAGTTTAATCTGTGAACTGCAGCAGGAAGTCTATGACAGCTCAGAATTGAATGGAAAGCAGATCTCTGGTTCAGGGTTGGAGAATGGATTATGGGTGATTGCAAATTTACATTTGATATTAAGTATAGTCTATAATATAGGAGCTCTGGTAGCATAGTGGTTACGAATCGGGCTGTGAACCTTAAGGTCAGTGGTTCGAAACTACCAGCTACTCCGCAGGAGAAAGATGAGGCTTTCTACTCCCGTAAAGATTTACACCCTCGGAAGCCCTGTACAGGGTCGCTATGGGTCGGAACCGACTCGACGGCACTTAACAACAACATAATATGTAGAAGGAATGAACATACATTATTTAGAGCATGAAATGTCATTTTTAAGACAGAACCTTAGGTAGATGCCTCATTTCCTATGCTAGAAGCATTGAGTGGAATAAAGAAGACCCTTTCTGTCTTTCACAGCTTCATCCAGGGCCACTTACCTTTGTCTTGAACATCATCTTTGGCACACCTCTCTGGACTGCTCAGTCCTGAGCTAATTGTCATGTAGGATAGCTGCTCCTCGGAAACTCTATACAGGGTCACTTTGGATCAGAACTGTCTCGATTGCACGTAACAACCAAAACCCATGAAAAAGGAGCAGCCCTGGTGGCATAGTGGTTAAGCACTTGTCTACTAACCTGAAGGTTCAAACTTATCATCAGTCTGCTTCCATAAAAATGATACTTTATGGTGCACTTCTACTCTGTCCTATAAGATTGCTGTGAGTCAGAATAAACTCCCTGTACAATTAGGCAATGGACTTGGTACTGTTTGGGCTTTTGGTTCTGGGAAGAAAGAATAATATGGATTTTAAAGGGAAACAGTTGCCACTGTACTGCTTTGAGTATTGTGACCTAACTGTAGTGATGTGTCTTTTCATTCATTGGCAATGTTATTGTATGCCATTGAGTCGGTTCCAACTCATAGTGACACTGTATGGGGTTTCTGAGAGTGGCTGGTTGGTTTGACCCTGCAGTTAGCAATCCAGTGCTTATCCTACAGCACCACACCAGGGCTCTCATTGACAGTACGCAAAACATATTTAGATGGCACAGGACTAGATATTATGAGTATTGTCAAAGAGAGCCTTGGTGTGGTCACTATGAATTGGAACTGACTCAATGGCACACAACAACAACAACATTGTCAATGAATGAACAGACATGTCACTGCAGTTAGGCTTGTGAGAGGGAATCTTGAGCTCAGCCGGGAAGAGCCAAGCCAGGCTTATTCTTTATTCTCCCAATTCTGTTTAAAGTTTTTTCCTGGTGACCCATACATACTGGTATCACTTTGGGCTTGATGCAAGTGGAAACTACTCATTAATGTCAAAGTGCCAGACTTGTTGCAGAGTCCAAAGCTTATGCTGATCGGACACAAAGTAAATTCCATTCTTTCCATGCCATTGGGTTCCATTGTGTGATTATGCCACCCACCACTGTTATCGAATTGGCTGCGAACCTTAAGGTCAGCAGTTCGGAACTACCAGCTATTCTGCGGGAGAAAGATGAGGCTTTCTGCTCCCATAAAGATTTACAGCCTCGGAAACCCTGTACAGGGTCTCTATGAGTTGGAACCGACTCCATGGCACATAACAACAATAACATAGAGAGAACGGGAAAAGCAGGCCTTCCCTTTTTGTCCCACTTCTGTCCTTATGTTCTAGCTACACTGTCCCATGCTCTGGATCTCGCCTCCTCTTTGTGCTAAAAGATAGTCTTTCTTCTCTGTTTATGATTGTATTAATGACAGAGCTGAGCTAGGCAGTTCCTCTGGTGAATGGCTCTCAGTCATGGTATTTCGTCCCACGTGGATAATTAGTAGCAATGCAACTGTGACTGAATATACTATTTGTTGTATTTCAGTGATGGTTTATAAACACAGCCTTAGGCTGTGACTGAATAAATAACTAAATACTATACCTAAAATTTTTTCCATTACAATTACACTCGGTACATTTCCTTCTATAGTGATCTTAAAATGGTACTTGTGTTCAAACTTTTCTAAAATTTTACTGTAGTGGCTTTTATTGTACTAAATTAAATGTCAGTTTAGATTATTTGTATAATTAATGTCTCATAATTTGCATTAATAAAATTGTCATACTGTTCATTTTCCCCCCACCCCACTCCAACTATAGGTATGGAACAGGCTGTTTCTTACTTTGTAACACAGGTCATAAGGTTAGTCTGTTGTTTTGTTTTGTTTTTTAATTAAAGGATTGCTAAAAAATTTAAGTTCATTAAAGTAATGCTTGAGCATAATTTGCTATTAAATCAGTTTTGAATTGTCAGTTTTCATTTAATCTTTCTCAGTTGGAATAAAATTGATGACAACTAAGCACAACAACCGTCTTTAATTTAGAACTTAATAAAAGCCATACATTTGAATGGTTCTAGTAAGAACCATTTCAAGCTCTTTGAAATTTTATACATATTTTTAATCATATTAGGAAGTCTAGACTGGGACCTTGTCAGATGCTTAATGTAACTCTAATTTAGAAGAAGGAATAGACTCTGCAGAGTTTAAGTGTGTCATTTTTAATACTGATAATTTTGACTTATGATTTATCATTTACCCTTTATTCATATTTTTATTGAATTATTTTATACCTTGATCATTTTAGTTTTAAATATATATTTTTTCATGCTATCTTTTTATTTTCCCAACTACTGAAAATTCTTTCTGTCCCATACAGTGTGTATTTTCTGAACATGGCCTTCTGACCACGGTGGCTTACAAACTAGGCAGAGACAAGCCGGTATATTATGCATTAGAAGTAAGTTGTTTTGAATCACTGTGGCTAATGTAACAAACATTCAAATATAATGTAAATTACAGTGTTTTCTAATGCCTTCTTTAGTAAGGAAGGAACCTTGGACAGAGCTAAGAGTCAGGACTCCCAGGAGAATTTGACTTTATTGGCTCCTTAACTAATCCTGGTAAATTTGGGCATATACTTGTTCACTCTGCAATGTAAGATTTTCTATCTCTAAAGTTTAATACAGGGTCGCTATGGGTCGGATCTGACTCGACAGCACTTAACAACAACAACAACAACAACAACAACAACAAAGTTTAATAGTAGAATTGACTTGATCTCTAACATTCCTATTAGCTTGAAAATGCTGTGGTTTTACAACTAAAATGCTCCAGTGTTCCAAAGAGATCCAGTGGGCTTAAATTATAAAGGGGCTGAGCAGGAACTCTCTTCACTTGTCTCCTCTTAATTTTGTCCAACTGTTGGGAAAGGATCACATTAGCAAGTCCTGGGTCTAGTGGGAGAAAAAGTCTATTAAAACTCAAAATCATAAAAAAAAAAAAAAAAAAAGACCAGCTTACTGGCCAGATAGAGACTGCTGGAACCCAGAGACTGGCCCTTCATCCCCATGGCTCAATTTTCAAACAAGCAAAAGATAGAGTGCTTGGAGTCAACAGCACTAGTAAGGGACACACACCATAGATTCGTCAACAAGGCTTTTGCAGCAGGTTTCGTTTGATTTCCTGACTGCTGCTTTCTTGAGCATTGATTGTTGATCCAAGCAAAATGAAGTCTTTGACAACTTCAATTTTTTCTCCATTTATCATGATGTTATTTGTTTGGTCCAGTACAGGGTTTTTGTTTTCTTTATATTGACATGCAGTCCATACTGAAGACTCTAGTCTTTGATCTTCATCAGGATTTTAAGCCCTCTTCTCTTTCAGCAAGGAAGGTTGTATCATTTACAAATCGTAGGTTGTTAATGTATCTTCCTCCAATCCTGATGTCACATTTTTCTTCCTGTAATCCATTTTCTCAGATTATTTACTCAGCATACAGATTGTGTAAGTATAGTGAAATGATAAAACCCTGGCACACACCTTTCCTGATTTTAAGCCATTCAGTATCCTTTTGTTGTGTTCTAAGGACTGTCCCTTGGTCCATGTGCAGTTTCCTCATGAACACAATTAAGTGTTCTGGAGTACCAATTCTTCACAATGTTATCTATATCTTGTCATGATCCCCACAGTCAAAAGCTTTGTGTAGTCAGTAAAGCTTAGGTAAGCATTGTGCTCTGGTATTCTCTGCATTTAGCCACAGGAAACAATCAGTGGTTTAGAATTATAGATGCCTTAGACCTGAAAAGGGCCCTTGGGTATCAGTCACTTAGTCGTCTCTCCCAATACGAAAAACCTTGTCTTGTATGCTTTTCTGATAACCTTCTGACACCAAAAATTGGGCATTCAAGTACTGGAAGGCAACAAGTAATTTTTCTGTCCTCCTACTCCAGAAGAAATTATTTGAGTTCCCTGATGTCACATTTGCTAGATGTTTTCTAGTTGTAAGCTGATTTCATTAAATTCATTCCAATTTGTTACCGTCTTTCAAAAAGGAATATAATAATTTACATATGATCTGGGTCCCTGGGTGGTGTAAATGATTTACACTTGCCTGCCCTAATGGTGCTGTTGGATCACCACTGGACTGCTAACCACAGGGTCAGCAAGTCAAACTCACCCACAACTCTTTGAGCAAAGAAGAGGCTTTCTGATCCCATAAACATTTACAGCCTCAGAAACTCTGTAAGTCAGAATTCAAATGCATTTGATTTGGACTAACCAAAAGATTGGCTGTTCAAATTCACTCAGTGGGACCACAGAAGAAAGACAGTGCAGTTCTACTCTGAAATATGCGAGATTGCTGTGGGTTAGAATCAACTCTATGGCAATGGAATTTGGGGGCGGGGGGGCAGGGGCAGGTACATAAGCTCCAACCCATACTCAATATTGTGACTGTTTTCTCTCTTACCATAGACACTGCTTCTGCTATTCTAGCCTGACAGTTTACTGCGTCCAGTAATTCCATCATAACCCTGACTCCAGGATCATATGTTAAAATATCTAGCATTAATGTTTCTCCATTGAACTGTTGTCAAAGTCCACCACATTCTGCATTTGCTTTGAAGATTTATTAATCTACACTCAGGTCTTTGTTCTTCCTGTTAAATTGCATGAGAGCAGTTTCAGCCTATCCTAATGCAGTCAATTCTTATGCACTCTTTGGTTTGTTTACTCATCCAGTTTTGCCTCATCTGGAGACTTCGCAAGCATATGCTTTTTTATTTTGTTTCAATTCATAGAACTTTTTTTCTTAGACTAATAGTAATTTAGACATTAGATCACATGGTACCATACACTCTTAGATTAGAAAAGTGAAATGAGAAACACTTGGCCCTGGGTCATGTCTCATTTGACAGCTGGTAAGTAGCAGATCATGGTTGGAAATAGAGCATGTTGGATGTCAAAGCCTCTCCATCTTCTTCCTTGTATGTGAAGGAGACAGGCCTGCGGCCTCCCAAGTCCAGTGTTCATTTCACTGTATCTCAGCTCTGTCACTTTCTCTGTCTGCTCATCTAGCAATTTTAACAACAACAACACACATACACTAATGTATAACAACACTAATATGTAGCAGTTAGGATTTTTTTTTCTATATTTTCTAATGCTTTGTAGATGACAAACATCAGAAAATTAAAACAAACAAAATAAGAATGGGTACTAAAACTAGATTGGTAAAACTTTCAGTTAATTCACGCTAATTCCAGTTGGTCACACTTAATTTCTTTTTCCGTAAGTGCTTAGAAATTGTACATTTCATAATAACTCCTTTCATTTGAGAGATTGTCATTAGGCTTAGCTATCTGAGACATTAAAATTTAATTTTCTGTCCTTCACAAAAACTGAGACTGTAGCTATGCATCTTAAGTCTTTTTATCTTTTTTTCTTCCTCTGCTGATTTGGAGGCAACGTTCTTTCTTTCTTTTTTTAAATTTCCTTTACTAGTTACATATATATTTTACAAACTTATTTTTTTTAGAAGTTTTAGGCACAGAAAAATCACCCAGTGTTCCCATGTACCTCCTGTCTTAGCTCTGTAGTGCTGCTAAAACAGAAATACCACAAGTGTATGGTGTTCACAACCAGAAAAGTATTCTTTCACAGTTTAGAAGGCCTTCTAGAAGTCGGAATTCAGCATCTGTCAGTCCAGCATTCCTTGGTATTCTCCATGTGTCTTGACATCAGTCTTCCTCTGGAGCTTCACGGTGCAGGGACCCAGATCTAAAGGCGGATGCACTCCACTCCTGGTTCTTCTGTCTTGGTGTGGTAGTAGGGCCCTTCCTCTCTGCTCACTTCTCTCTCTTTTTATATCTCATATAAGAGTAAGGCTCAAGATACAACCTAATCCTGTAGATTGCATCCAACCTCATTAACATCCTAGAAGTGAGAATTTATAACACATTTAATCATTACATCAGAGCTGATCACATCAGATCATTCCATGGGGTTGATTATATTATATTAGAGGTGATCATTACATCTTAACTGCTAAAGCACTAAGAATCCTGGCCCAGCCAAGTTGATACAAACCTTGACTATGGTACCCCCCTTTATACCCACTCAGAAGTTTCTTCTTGTACTAACATTTTGTATTAGTGTGGTACAGTTGTTATCATTGAGGAGCCAATTTTGATACATTATTATCAACTAAAGTCCCTAGTTCATAGTTCACATGAGGGTTCACTTCACTCTTTGTCTTATACAGATAGTACTATGGATTTTGACAACAGCATGTCATGTGTCCACCATTACAGTATTCTGCTGCTGCTGCTGCTTTCTCAAAATGCCCTATGCTCCCTCCACCTATTCCTCCATCTCTCCCTGCAGCAATACTGACAACAAATCACTCCTTTCATAATCCTCTCTATTCCTCTGTTGGGTTTGACAATCCATTGCAATGGCCACAGAGAACTTACACACTATAGTCACAGTTATAGAGTTTCTTAGGGAAGTTATCAGGTTCCGATTTTAGGTCAGAAACTCTCAGGGCTGAGTTGTTCCACTCAGCTGCTGATAAATGCCCATAGCGTCAACCTGAAGGCAGTGGGGTATAGCTTCCTGGGTCTGCAAATCCAGTTTCCCCCACTTAATTTTGCCTGGAGGCACCCGATTCTACCTGCATCCTGCCCAGAGTCACTCAGCTTTACTTGTTTGGTGGACTGTGATGTCCACTGCTTTATCTCAGGGTTCAAAGGACTTGCTTCACTGCTGTCTGTTCTTTGATGACAGTGAGATCCTCCCTCCTGCTTCTGAGATGGTTTATTTTAAACCCATGCTAGAGTTTCAAGTTTTTACAATTACAATGAGCTCTGCTAACATCCACAGCTGAGTCATGTCTTCCGATCAGTATCTTCTCCCACCTTTCTTACCCAGACCCAGCAGGGCAGAAACGTTGATTGGTGGTAGTTACAGACTATGGCTAGAAGTTGTTGTTGTTGTTGGTAAATACCATGGAGTCGGTTCCGACTCATAGTGACCCTGCAAAGGGTTTCCAAGGCTGTAAATCTTTACGGGAGCAGAACACCTCATCTTTTTCCCACGGAACTGCTGGTAGTATCAAACTGCTGACCTTGAGGTTGGCAGCCCGACTTGTAACCACTGCACTGCCAGAGCTCCCTATGGCTAGAAGAGACACTGGTTAATTCAGTACACCACACTCTCTTTCCCCTGAACCCTTAAAAATCTTAAGATACTGTGTAACTATATATTTTTCTAACAGTGTATAGTTGTTTAATAGTTTTCTCTTCCCAATTATGACAAGGGCTTCGATTACTTTAGCCCTATCACCTCCAGCGACTGTTCTCTCCGGACAATCTGTCCAAAGTATGAGAGACGAAGTTTAGCCATCTTGGCCTCCAAGGAGCACTTTGGCTGCACTTATTCCAAAACAGATCTGTTGGT